GCTGGAGAGGTGCCAGTTCACCTCCTGGGCACTGCCGAGATGCCCTTGAGCAAGGCACCGAACACCCCCACTCTAACTTCTCTCCACTTTGTGCATGTATAGGTCCTGTTTGTGCATGTGTGTGTCTTTCAGACCTGTGTTTAATTGACAAGCAAGAGTGAAAACATTGAATTTCCCCTCAGGGGGATTAATAAAGTAAATAAACTTAACTTAGTTTTCCTAAATATTTAAACAACATTATTATCTGATTACTATCATCTCCCCGTGCTCTCATCGTTATTTACCTGCAATCGAGTTGTCATCTCTTCACGGCTTAAAGGGATAGTTCAACATTTTGGCAAATTCGTCTACTGCCATAATCCCTATAGTCATATGAGTAGGTACATTACCTTTAATTGTCAGTTCCTGCTGTTCTGAGATCGGTGGAGCAGAGCTGCCTGCTGCTCAGCGCACAAAATGGAGGTGAACGGTATAGCCCCCTCTCTCCCTCAAAACTAATCAAATACACCATCAAATGACTCCAAAACGCTCCAGTGGAAAACACATGACTTCGCATTCCCCACGCTATGAAATAATAATGTATAATTAAGTAACATTACGACACATGAAGCAAATACTCTGAACTGCTTTCTTGAGTAAACCAGTGGGCAGAGTGACACAGTACACCTGAGACAGTGCCGTAGTTATTGCTTGCAGCCTTGCATTTGCGGTATCGTCAGCTGGACGCATCAGGAAGTTTGAGAAAAGTTTACAGAATGTTGTTGTAAATCATGGTTTACACATGGATTGTAAAAGGTTGCGATAACAAGCCGAAGACATGGAGAGTGATCATTGTGTATTTTGCTCAGCAATCTCTCTGCTGCACATTTCTGTATTTGCAGCATTTTCCCTTTGCATTTGTTTTCTTATATGCAGTGCGTTTCTCTATTTGCAGTGCGTTTCTCTATTTGCATCGCGTTTGTCCTTGTCGGCCACCATATTGATACAAAATATCAACTTATAAATTAAGATGCTTAATACCCAGGAGTATATAAAGTAAAATGAGCTCCACCTTTACCACCAGCAACATTAAAGTAACAAACACAATCCACTGATATATTATTCTCAAATGGGCCATTCTAATGAGTACTTTTTCTTTTGTTACTTTGAGGAAATTTTGATGCTAACACTTTTGTACTTTTACTTGAGTAAGATTTAGAATGGTAGACTTTTACCTGTGAATGATTACAGCACCAAAGTGCAATACATTTCAAAGTGAGGGATGCAGTTTTATTCACAAATCTGTCCTCCTGCTGTCAAATGGCTGCATGGACAGAGTAGATAAAAACTGACTTTAATTATTCAAGTAATGGTTAACTTTTTAACCATTAAGTTTGGTTAATGCCAACCTAAATGTATTCTCTGGTTGCAGAGTGATGTGGTCACTTGCATTTTAATTGTTTAATTTGCACTTGTCGAGGACAGCGGTTCTCAAATGGGGTTCATGTAACCCTTGGGGTACGTGAAGGCACTCCAGGGGGTATGTGAGATTTTAGAAAACATATTTAAAATTGGCATCCACTGAAAAATCCTTAAAAATAGTTATTAAATAAATATTCAATAAAATATAAGTGTATGTTCATAAACTGAATTTTATATTCAGTAGGCTATTCACTTTCATTATCCTAAAAACCCTGAGTCTCCCCCATACCAGGATGGTTTGGCCCAACCTGGGACACACCATCTGTCGTCACTTGTGAATCACTGCCGCCTTAAAAACTCAAACATTATTCAGTGTGTTTACATGGACAGTTTAATTCCCTTTTCATTCGGAATGAAAGTTCATTCCTATTAAAAGTGATCTTGTCAACACCTAATTCGGAATGAAAATGGCCAATTAGATTGAAAATTCATTCCGATGTAAGGGGCTGGAATATTCTGTTTCTAATTCCAAATGAAAGAATTTCTTGCACTTGTATACACTCATTCCTCTTTAAGTTCATTCCGGTCTTTCTGCACGTGCTCGTTTCCTTGCCCTTCTTGCGCGATGATGTATATAGCCTGCACGACAAGATGGCAGCTTCTAAAACCAAGAGATGGTCCCGAGCAGTCTTCTATCTCCCTTCTTCGACCTTCTACCTCCCTTCTCCTCCTCAACAGAGGAAGCATTAGCAGAACAAGGTTGTTGTTGTACTGCTGCTTCAAGAATATAAGCAAAACAAGCCCAAAAAGGGCACTAAGAATGGCGTCGTCAAGCATCTTGTTATCCGGAATGAGAACTAAAGTGTTTTCTTCCGGTAAACGTAAACATGTAACATCTGCCCCGCCCCATATCCAATCAGAAATCTTCCCTGCCCCAAAACTTGCGCGGACCTGAATAAAAGCGATTAAAAGGCATGTAAACCCTCATTTGAAATGAATATTTCCCATGTAAACTACCTGGACAAACTTTGATTCCGAATGATTTCATTCAGATTTATTTCATTCCGAATGAGAAGCCATCCTGTAACCGCACCCAATGGAGTCAGGAAAGCCTCCATGACATCAGCCAAAACACTGGTGGGAAAACTTAGCGACTCTTTTTCATTCCAGCTGGATGAATCCACAAATGTCAGTGGAAATGTACAACTTGTTGCTTTTGTGAGATACATACTGACAACATTTATGAACACATATAATTATGCAAAACTTTGGAGGGGAAAACAACAGCAGTGGACATTTTTGATGTTGTTAACACCTTCTCCTGTGAAAACGGCATGAACTGGAAATCCTGCAGCCACATCTGCATGGACGCAGCAGCATTAATGACGGGCAGCGCGAGAGGACTCATAGCGCGCATTAAAAAAGAAAACCCCGACATGAAGTGGACTCACTGTGTCATACACAGGGAAGCATTGGTGTCCAAGAAAATAAGCCCTGTGTAACATGACGTTTTGAATGACAGCATCAAAGTGATCAACCTCATAAAGTCAAGGCCACTTAATGCATGCCTGTTTCACCGCCGCTGTGAAAACATGGGAGCTGAACACACACGACTGCTGCTGCACACAGAAATGCACTGGCTCTCTCGAGGGAGAATACTCAACCGGCTGTTGGAATAACGATCTGAAGTACACACCTTTCTGATTGAGCATCTTCCCATGCCACCTTATTCCAGGACACAGACTGGCTTGCAAAGCTGTGCTATCTGGCAGATAAATTCAGCAAACTGAACTAACTGAATATGTCTCTGCAGGGCAAGGACACCAGCATTTTAAACCTGTTTGACAAGGTGGGTGGCTTCCTGAAGAAAGCAGAGCTGTGGAGAAGGGCCTCTGCGCAGGGGGATTTCACCAGCTTTCCTCAGGTGGATGATTTTCTCTCTAGTGAGGATGTGGAGAGAGCTTCAGTCAAGTCGGTCATAGTGGAACATTTGACCAACAGGATTTTCATTCCTACTTTCCTGACATGGAGGAGAAATCTGCACAGCTGGATTGGGTGAGAAACCCATTTCTCTTGTCCGAAGCAAGTGGAAACAAGCTGAAGCAAGCTACCTGTCAGTTATCAGGAAAAACTCCTGGAAGTGTCATCTGACCGTGGCCTCCAGATGAAGTTTGCCACATCCACACTCACACAGTTTTGGGTGTGTGTGAAGCAGGAGCACCCTGACCTGGGATAGAAAGCTTTGGAGCAGCTACTACCCTTTGCTTCCACACATTTATGTGGGCCTCCTTCTCTGCATTGACTGTGATCAAATAAAGCAAAGAAATAGACTGTGCCTGGAGAAGAGCTTGATCACAGCAGTTGCCTCCCTGCCACCAAGACTGACAAAGATCCTCAGTGAAGCACAAGCACAAGTTTCTCACTGAAATGTAAATGCAAAAGCACTCAATTCAATGCAACAATGCAATCTTCAGTGTTGACAGTTTGTAAATTTAAGATCAGTCTTCTTTTTTATCCTTAAAGAAGATATTTTAAGATGATAGATATTTTTATTTTTAATTTTGAGCGAATTTTTAATTTAAAATCAAGTTAATATTTCTTTTTGAGTTTTGAGAAGAAGTGTTGATTTAGCTGTAATTAAGTTCATGAGTTCAGTTTGAGAACAGATCTTTATTATGATCCCAAAAGAGGGCACTTAATAATTAATAATATAATTATCATTATAATAATAATTATTTCTTTTTTTAATGAGTATTTAGTTATTTTTATATATTTTTATTTCCAAATAGTTCAAGAGAGACCACTACAAATGAGCAATGTTATCCCCATTGAGTTGTAAATGTTTTATTGATGTTTTTTCAATGTTTGAAATTTGAAAGTGCCTAGTCACAAAGTTTAATAAAACAGACACTGATCGCACTGTACTGTGTATTACATCTTTTTTTCCAACCAAAAATGCTTTGCGCTGGCTAGGGGGTACTTGGCTGAAAAAATATTTCACAGGGGGTACATCACCGAAAAAAGGTTGAGAACCACTGGTCTAGGAAATGAATCATGGTCAGACCTGATTCCTCAGAGTCTGTTGACAGGGCAACATTTCATACACACTTTTTACCAGAATACTTCTTCCTAAATGATTAAAGTTAACCCATATTTGTGCCTATTCTTCCACCTTTGCGCCATACATGCCACGCTGGGCAAAAAAGAAAAAAAAAAAAAATTAGGAAGCCAGAGAAATACCAAGTTGTCACATTGCTGTGTTGCTCTTTGCACTGTTATGAAGATAAGGCTTTAACTATCATAATCTAAGGAATATACTAACGATTATTATTTGAATTTCTGTTATTAAAGCTGTCAAATCAAAACAAGTGAGTTTTGAGAAATAATTTCAGCATTGTTGGATGGCAAACATTTTTAGAGAATTCCACCTACAGGGAATGACAAGTGCTACAAAGTCATCAAAAACTGACTGCAGTTGCGCAAATAATCAGTTTGTCTGCAGTGACTTAATGACAATTCTTATCAAGTGTGTTAGTCATAAAAAAATCACTTGCCTTTTAGTTTAGGGCTGCTGAAGCTATATCTCTTTTCTCTTGCAGATACATCCACTATGTTTTTGACCTTGGAAATGGGCCAAACCTCATCAAGGGCAAAAGTGACAGGGCACTGAATGACAACCAGTGGCACAATGTAGCCATCACACGAGACAACAGCAACACCCACACACTGAAAATAGACGCTACAGCCACAAGCCAGAGTATCAATGGGGCCAAGAACCTGGACCTGAAAGGTATGCAAAAGACTTGACACCTCTGACACATACACATAGTAATTTTGAACTACTAAAATATTTGCAATGACTTTCACTGTGCATTAAATTGTGTCTTTTTTATGGCATGGGTTATGCTTTCTATTTTTCCAATTCTTGTTAAGTTTTTACTATGGTTGATTTCAGTCTATTTTTAGCAGTAACAAGTCATTTTAGCATGTTACTAATATGATTTGTACAATGTAGGTAGCACATAACCACCTGAAATCACGTGTTTTAATTTTTTTATTCATCTACATAACCACTTCTGCCAGTGTTCCACCAGAGAAAATATCCCCTTAAGGTTTTTGTGTCTTGTTGTGTGATTACAGGCTACAGTATCTCACATAAGTGAGTACACCCCTCCCATTTTTGCAAATATTTCATTAAATCTTTTCATGGGACAACACTATAGAAATGACACTTTGATATAACTTAAAGTAGTCAGCATACAGCTTGTATAGTAGTATAGATTTACCTTCCTCTGAAAATTTCTCAAAACACAGCCATCAACATCTAAACAGCTGGCAACATAAGTGAGTACACCCCACAGTGAACATGTCCAAATTGTGCCTAAAGTGTCAATATTTGTGTACCAACCATTATTATCTAGCACTGCCTTAACCCTTTTGGGCATGGAATTCACCAGAGCTCACAGGTTGCTTCAGGAATCCTCTCCCACTCCTCCATGATGACATCATGGAGCAGATGGATGTGAAGACACCTTGCGCTACCCCACCTTCAGCTTGAGGATGCCCCACAGGTGCACAGGTGAGTTAGAGGGCTGGATACATATTTGGCCAGTCCATCACCTTCACCTTCAGCTTCCTCAGCAAAGCAGTTGTCATCTTCTAGGTGTGTTTTGGGTCATTATCATGTTGGAAAACTGCATTGCAGCTCAGTTTCCGAAGAGGGGCGATCATGGTCTGCTTGGAATTCATGTTTCACTAAATGAACCGAGCTCCCCAGAGCCGGCAGCACTTATGCTGCTTACAGTCAAGTATAGTGGTGGCAGCATCATGGTTTGGGGCTGCGTGAGTGCTGCCACCACTATACTTGACTGTAAGCAAGGGACAGCTGTCTTGGTGCTCTTTCAGCATGTGTGGCACTTTGGTGAAGAGCACCAAGACAACTGTCCCTTGCCTACAGTCAAGTATAGTGGTGGCAGCATCATGGTTTGGGGCTGTATGAGTGCTGCCGGCTCTGTGGAGCTCGGTTCATTTAGTGAAACATGAATTCCAAGCAGAGCATGATCACCCTCTTCAGATACGGGCTGCAAGTTTTCATTATCAAGTTTTCCAACATGACAATGACCCAAAACACACCTAGTAGATGACAACTGCCTTGCTGAGGAAGCTGAAGGTGAAGGTGATGGACTGGCCAAGTATGTATCCAGCCCTAAACTCACCTGTGCACCTGTGGGCCATCCTCAAGCTGAAGGTGGGGTAGCACAAGGTGTCTTCACATCCATCTGCTCCATGATGTCATCATGGAGGAGTGGGAGAGGATTCCTGAAGCAACCTGTGAGCTCTGGTGAATTCCATGCCCAAAAGGGTTAAGGCAGTGCTAGATAATAATGGTTGGCACAGTACTCACTTATGTGTGATACTGTACATCATAGAAGGGTGCTGGTGATTGGCACATCTGAGTATGCTGTCAAATGTGTGTTAGCATGTTCAGTGTGTTTCCTTTCATATACCTACAATGTTTACAGCATAACCTGTTCTGCTTCTGTGACAAAAGGCTGCTTGAAAGCAGTGGGGATTAAGAGTGTGGGTTAGCATGTTGGATGTGTTTCCATTCACATCCCCAAAAACATTGGAGCAATGTTGAAATTTGTCTTATATGTCCTTGTCTTGTAGTATGAGACAAGGACAGTGTGTTGGTGTTTCATTTGCACTTGTCGTAGTGTGACTGACTCTCACGCCTATGCGTTTGGTTTCCTAACCTCAGCATTTGTCTTTTGTGTTATGGTACCCATTATGATGCAGGCTGTTCAAAAAATGTTTATGTTTTTTGTTAAAAAATGTATCCATATAAAGTAACCATACACTTTTGGGTATGTTATCTTTAAGCAATACTGTACCATCATGTTAAGAAATGAAAAAAGACAGTGATTATTTAATTTAATACAATCTTTGTGTAAATATTTAAAGCCTTTAAATTAAAATCCATGCCATTTGATTTTAAAATAAAAAAGAAAACTCTTTTCAAAAGTTGATATGTCTGAACATTACCCTCAGACAACATTGTACCAATTTTGAACAACGCAAAGGCATGAATGACTTAAAGAGTGGAAGCATATTTCAGCAAACTTAACATTAACAATATATCAGACCAAACTATCATAATCTGCTTCAAAACAAGATGAGCTATATTTCAATGTCTGATTGTTTGTTTTATATTCAAATGCCTATTTTCAGTGTCCTGGTGTGTGTCATTCCTGATGTACTATATGTTGCCACCATTTGTTGTGATTGAACTACAGTAAACTTGAGCTTTGTGTCCTTTGACTACCTACTATAAACAACATGACCCTCTTCCATTTTGTAATACCTGATTGTACCTCTGAGGTTATTTTGGTAAAAGTAATGCAAAACTAGTGTAATAAGTAATGCATTATTCTGCATAGACAGCCATATTGTAAACATACTACTTTTCAAATAAAAGTAACACATAATATGTAATACGTTCAACTTTGAAAGTAACTTGCACGACACTGGTTTGAAATACTGAAATGTAACACCATGCCACTACAAAAAAAATGTGTCCAGGGCATTGCTGCTGTGTAGTGAAGTATAATATTTAATGTATAATTTACTTCATAAAATACCTCTCAATTTAATTTAGCCACACAAATGAAAATGGCGCAGATCATTAACAAACTAATATATAAAGACAGAATTTATATATAGACATATTTGAGATACAATTCTGTTGTTCTTCTCCCACAGTATCTCTATGTGTTCTACACTCCAGGTGATCTATTCATCGCAGGACTGGGTCCAGGCATGTATGGCAACCTGCCTAAACTGGTGGCTTCCAGGGAGGGCTTCCAGGGCTGTTTGGCATCAGTAGACCTCAACGGTCGCCTGCCTGATCTCCTCAATGATGCCTTGTTTCGCAGCGGGCAGATTGAGCGTGGATGCGAAGGTACACCTTCCCTGAAATCTGAGCCTGATTTAGACTACTATAACACAAACTTCAACTCCAACTCCAGCTCCAGCAGCCCTTTCTTTCTGCTCAATGCAAACAGTAGCTCCACAGCCCTGCATCCATACGGAAGCCCCTCCATTCTATTAACTGTACTTGTTGCCTCACTTGCCCGCAGCTAGAATCAGGCCAAACATCAAACTCCTCCTCAGCTACACCACCACATTACCGGCCACATTGGTCGCCCACTGACAGTGACGTTGGGCTCACTATCAGAGCAGTTTTTGTCAGTGCAGTGACATAAACTACAGTCAGTTGCTCCATTTTCTCCTATGTTTTGTCATTTTCTTTCTAAATTCTGTGAATGTTTGGAGTCTAAAACACTATTGTCATATGAGAAGGTACTACAGAGTTTCTTACAAGTGGCTGGTTCATGTGTGTTGGTACAAAAACAATGTATTAACTTGACAGTATGAGGATACATTCACATACAGGACAAGCTCCAGTTTCTTCAAAATTAAAAAGAAAACACTGCAAATTCTAATATCTATTACATATGTAACTGACTCTTTACTAAGCCTCACCCCACTTCTTTATTATTGCAATGCTAGTCAAACTTTCCATCCTAACACTATGAATTTCACAATGATAACAGTTGGTGCTGATGAATCACATGAAGTTTGGTGTAATTTTCCAAACAGCAGATCCTCGGCTTCAGACCGAAGTAGGCAAGGCAAGTTTATTATAAAGCACATTTCAGCAACAAGGCAATTCAGAGTGTTGACATGAAACACCAAAAGAAAAGACAAAAGCAGCTCCTCACTTTCAGTTTGCAGCTGGTGATTTTAATTTAACGGCATTTTCATTGGCAGATTTTATTAGCTTGATATAACTAAATAACATTAACTCTGTGTGTTGGTTGATAATTAAGTCTCAGAAAGATGCATTTGATGGCTGTGTACATAATATCATGTTAACCAAGTGCTATAATGATGCACAAAAAATTCTTAAAGGTCTACTGTACAGGATTACGTGGCATCTAGCAGTGAGGTTGCAGATAACAACCAACTGAAACCTCTGCTGTGTGCCAAGTGTGCAGAAGAACTGTGGTCGCCAAAGCGAAAACGTTTTGTCCCCGCACTTTCTGTGCACACAAGAAAACACCATGGAATTAACGATCGTAAACCACGCAGTGCTGCCAGATCACAGTCAAATGCACCCTGCCGAGTGCGTAATCCCGGTAATTCTGTGGTCATGCTACCTGTGGTGCACTTGAACACAGACTGGGAATTGGAAAGAACACATTATTATAGTTAGGTATATTAAAAGCTGTGACAATCATGGCTTATTACATTCATCACTTTCATCCCATTTAATCACAGAGCTCTCTCTGTCATTATGCAGTGACAGTTTGAAAACTTTGCAGAGAGTTGTCCTGAGACAAAACTTTTTGTTGTCTGGGACATGGGATGGGAATTATTTTAAAACTTTAGTTAGAACACTCTCCACCACATTATGTTTCTCATCACAGCCACATATCTACCTCTATCATAATGAAAACTTGCTGAAGGTTTAATTTGTTTTGTGTTGATTTCAAATTGTTCATGCACATTGTACATAACCACATCACAACGGGCTGTTGAAACATTTTGCACGAGCAAGCAAATGTCACTGTGGACAAAATGTTTCCACATTCCTGTGCAAGTCGTGCATTCTTTTGCAGTTGTTTTTTATCATCCTCTTAAGGTTATGGGCTTCCAGAACCTGTTGCATGGAAATCATTCTGTCCAGCTGTTTATACTTATGCCTTCCATATCATTGAGATGGCCATTAAGTGTACTGTATGTTGCTGTTTTTTATTAGCATTACCCTTCAGAGCTCCATGTTAGACAAAAACATGTGTTACTGTTTCTTTTCGAGCAAAGCAGACAATAAGGCTGTGTACTGTATGTCCTCTTCACTGTGACATGTGAATGGGATTTTATACAATGCTTGTCACTGTACTGTATGTACTGCAAAAAAGTAATGGTTAACTAATTTCTTTTAAAAATAAAATGTCATCAATCACAGTTTGCTGGTCTTGTCCATGGTATTCTGTCCCATTTTATGTTTCCTTGTGTGATTTCTTTCTTTATTTTTGCTAATGTAGTCATTTAAGCTGTATTGCCATGTACTGCCTGCTTTTCATAACAAGCTTTCATCACATAAAATTAATTTGTGTTTCTTCAGCCACTGAGCGCTTACCAAAGCCCATTAATGATTATTAGGTTGGTTATACATTGTACTGTCACTAGATGGCAATACTGCACTGTGGCAAACATTTAACAGAACTGTTATCAGTAGAACATGAATTAGCCTGTCACTGTTACATCATACATTAAATCCTGAAGCAGATCAGTGGATCAGCTGCAGGACATTCCTGCCTTGTAAGTCACTGTAAGTTCCAAAACTACACCCCCTCCTCATCATCCGTTTACTTGGTCCTGAACAGCTCCTTTAGCAGAGCAGCTTGCAACAGTTTACAAGGTAAGCCTCCACCCAACACATTGACCTGATTAGAATTAGATGAGCTGATGCACACTGAGGATTTTTGTACACTTAAGCAGGTATAGTGGGAAAATGAACAGTAGAAGCAGAGTCTAGATTTCAGACACAACTTCAACTAATTTCTGGGTGTGTGGAGGAAGGAAGGAAGAAATCTGGAGGGGAAAAACTTTAGCAACACGTATAGTATTGTGTATATTCAATATTCACTGCATTATTGTTAGACCAACAAGTTTCAGGTTATGGTCTTCATCTGGGTCATCATACAACACAGTACAACAACATTTAAATAGCCTAGATGTGGAGCAGAGAAAAACATTTAATGATATAAAACACGAGCAAAGGGTAACCAATCATATCCACCCATATATCAACCAATGGAGCACATATAGATGGGCATATTTCACAACTAGTAGAGAGATGAGGTGAGTGCCCCATGAAGAACCTGGGTAAACCATATATTGTACTTTGACAACAGAACGTTTTTCACACTAAATAGGCTAATTTTGGGTTAAGAACTCCTCTGCACAGGTCTGAGTGCTGAGCCTTAGATGCTCTTCTCTTCTCTAATTCTTATTAAACTACTGCAGTGCTTTAATAAGGAAATAGCTCATAAGACCAAAGCAATGTGCATGGTTAGACATAAGTAGCAATGAGGGAAAATAGATTTTGATGGGAGGATGGAACAAACAAGCACCAGCTCTTAACACATTAATCTATGTAGATGTAATGCAAAATGTTATGATGATGTCTTATAGAGAATCAGTTTAACCCTTTGAAACCTGAGCAAATTGGCTTGATTTCTTTTAAAAACATGGGAAAACGGCTGCCCTAGAAAAACTACAGAACTCTACTTGTCTTAACCTCTTGAATGCAACATAATTATGTGCATTTTTTCCCCCTCTTTCTTACCTTTAGACAGTCCATACTTGTATAGGTAGCGTTTCTGATTATTTGAAAAGTACTCACCGTATTGCCCTGTCGTAGCAGTTGTTATTAAGATGATGCCTTACTATGAATGTTCTATTTTGCACCTTACTTGTTTTCTGTTGTTGTTTTTGGTGTAAAATTTGTAGTATATTAAAAATCCAAGAAACACACTTGTTACAAAAAAAAAAACATGGGAAGAAGTCAATACTCAATGAAAGAAGAAATGACTCAAAAAATTAGCAAGAAATTAGTAAAAAGGAGATAATTCAAAATAAGAAAAGTAGTAAAAAGAAAGGAAAAAACGTTAGCAACAAACAAGTAAATGACCTGGAAAGAGTGCTTAAAAATGATAATAATTCTGTAACATAATTTAAAGATGTAGTAATAATAATAATGATTTTAAATATAGTTTTTCCTAGCTTTTTTCTTTCTTTTTTTTCTAGTGTTTTTTGAAAAAAAAATAAAAAATAAAATAAATCTATTATTTTTTTGGCAGTTCTTGGGACATTTCTTACCAAGTTGCTCAGTGCCTTTTTTGCATGTTTTTGAAAGAAATCGCACCAGTTAGCTGAAGGTTCAAAGGTTTAAATACTTGCAAAAAGCATCTGAAAGCGGCACAAGAAAAGTGATATCGCTCCAGGTTTCAAAGGCTTAAGCCTCTAGTGTGTTTTTGTAGTATTACCCCCAGATCTCTCTCTCTTTCTCGCTCTCTCTCTCTCTCTCACTAATTCAAATTCAGATTCAAAAGTTTTATTGGCATGAAAGTTTTCAAAAAAACATTATTGCCATGGCATAAAATACAAACACAAACAAAAAATACATAATAACAGCAATATGAAAATTAATCAAAATCAAATAAAATAGATACTTTTCATAAAATATACATGAATAAAACAAAACACATAAATATATATTTTTATATCCTGTGTGTGTGTGTGTGTGTGTGTGTGTGTGAGTGATGAGCCAGCCAAAATTAACAAAAAGAAAGAAAGGTACCCAGACCAGCCCACAAAGGGCTGTAGGATCTGGGCTCTTCCCTCCCTAAAATAGAAAACTAAACCTAAACAGAAATAAAAGCCACGAAAACCAGGGCTACTGGACCCACCAAAAACCAGAAGTGTGTGTGTGTGTGTGTGTGTGTGTGTGTGTGTGTGTGTGTGTGTGTTTAGGTCATTCACTGTCCCTCAGGCTGTGGCACACTAATACATACTGGGCAGCAAGATTTGCCCTGTCTCGTTCTCCCAGGGGAATTGTGAACTTTGAGAGCTTTGAATGTCTGTCTCTGTCTCTGTGTGTGTGTGCGTGTGTGTGTGTGTTTGGGTGGATGGATGTCTGGGTATGGTTCTGGGGATGGCTGTATTTCCACAGGTCCCAGCACCACCTGTCAAGAGGACTCCTGTGCCAACATGGGTATTTGTATCCAGCAGTGGGAGAACTACACTTGTGACTGCTCCATGACCTCTTACACTGGCACGCAGTGCAATGACCGTGAGTACTGATCTCATGATTGACATTTCTAATGTCACTGATTTACAACAGAGAGTGGACAAAATCACAATCCCTAAACACCTCCTTTGTACCATCAGTGAGTGCTTAAAATCATAATCATTAGGGCTAAGAGCTTCTTAAAAACGCTCTTAAGCCTCCTGTGAAAGAAAAACGTGTTTCCCAGATTCGCTCTGAGCTTAGGAAGATCTTTCACGAAGAAGGAGTTGTAAGATCGAGCTGACCCACTCTTAACAGTCTTCTTAGCGACCAAACGCTCACAGCTCCAGCCGCGGCAGGCAGATTAATATTACACTAAGCAAGGAGATATGAAAACAGTGCGCACCGTATAAATTTTGATCTATTTTATACTTCAGATTTATATTGTTTAGCATTAATTGGTGACAGAAAAGAACGAATTTCATTCTGCAGGAAAACGCGTGTCCTTACTGTGCATATGACGATAAATACTTTGCATCTTGAACCTATATGTTTTATGAAGACCCTATGTGCACTCAAAGCTGTGGCACAAGTTACGCACCGAAATCTGGAAGAAAAAAAAAAATAATAAGAAAAAAAATAAGTATGAGGAATAACAAGTGTGTTCCTGTATGTGCTGTGCACATCAGGCACACAAATAAAATGAATCATCATGACCATCATTTATCATAATTCGTCCGCACATATCCCACATCTGACAGAAACACATCCACCCTCCAAACCTGCAACATTTCATAGATATCAGGCAACTGACAGGTGTAATTAAGCTCAGCTGGAACCTCATCAAGGGAAGCTCCACCCGCTACTCTATATAAAGGCGTTGCCACGTCACACGTGTGAGATACCATGGCTGCTTAACAGCATATTCTCGCTGCTAACCAACAGTGTCACCGTGTGCGAAGCCAAACCATATATGTAAATGCATATGTGCATCAGCACTTCAGCACACTCAACGTGCTGTCAGACCGGGCTGTCCAAATGAAGTACCGGCTGAGATACAACGACTCATCAACTAGTGTCTCCACACACCCGGAGGGCAACCCGGTGCAATTCCGCCCTCAGCCCGGAGGTGCAGTGCCTGGCTGCGCTGCGTTTTATGCAGTGGGGAGCTTCCTGGAAGTGGTAGGAGACGGCACCGGCCTCAGCAAGGCGTCTGTGTTTTTTTTGTTTAAATATAATACATTTCTTCATGATTATCTTACCAAGACTACTTCTTATGTCGTTGTAGTCTTGCTCCATTAAGAACGCATCTGGGAAACACTCCTATCTTAGCGACCCTTCTTATCAAAGACGTTCTTAACTGTGCTCTTAAGTCTTAAGATCACTCTTAACTGGGAAACGCGGCCAATTACAGTAATAGTAAAGATAAGGTAACTCCATTTTACGAATATACGGCATTTTAGGTTAGAGTCACAGTAAAATATCTGTACTGGCAGCAGTCTGTAGCTACAACAACACAGACTGCACAACCACTCCGGAGGTGAAGCTCATATAGTGAATCAGTCAGTTTTACTTTAAGTGTAGAATCACCATGAGGCTTGGTTGCAAAACACTTTAAAACAGAATCAATAACGGGGGAAAAAAATGGTAGAAACCTCAGGAAGAGCAACTGAGGAGGGATCCCTCTTCCAGGACGGACAGTAATCTGTATGACACAATGAGACAGAAAGAGAGACAGAGAGAGAGAGAGACAGAGACAGAGACAGAGACAGAGAGAGATGCAGGACAGACGGTAATGACAGTAGCCTACAACAACATTAATGAAAGTAATGATATTATAATAATATTATAATTATAATTCTGGTTATTGTGGTGCAATATGTTGAAAGTATATATAAATGTCTGATAGTATACATATGTGACAATAATCATATGTGTATAATAACAGTAGAAGTATGACTAATGATAACAGCAGCAGCAGGAGGCATCTGGCAGGACCATGGCAGCAGCACAACCACACACGTCACACTATCCAAGCACTGCTGTGATATGAGTTAACCTATAAAGGTATATTTATAAGAATAAAACATACAAAGGACAAATAGAATAATAAAATCATCAATCAATCAATCAATAAATTTTATTTATAAAGCCCAATATCACAAATAACAATTTGCCTCACAGGGCTTTACAGCATACGACATCCCTCTGTCCTTAGGACCCTCGCAGTGGATAAGGAAAAAAAGAGATCAGAAATTTGAATAACATCAGTGTGAAAGGGTAGGTAAAAATCTGATGATTTTTAGGTGAGTTTTAAGCATGGTCTTGAATGTTGGGAGGTGTGTATATAAGGTGTGGATATAAATCACTCTCTCAGGGTGGTATCTGTGTCATCGTCAAGCTCGGGTCCTCTACCAGAGGCCTGGAAGTTTGAGGATTCTGCGCAGTATCTTAGCTGTTCCTAGGAATGGACACTTCTGGACTGAGGCTTCAGATGTTATTCCTGGAATCTGCCGGAGCCACTCTCCCAGTTTGGGGGTCACTGCCCCGAGTGCTTTGACCTTCCACATTTGTTCCAGCTGTTCTTTCAACCCTTGAAACTTATCCACCTTTTTGTGTTCCTTCTTTCTGATGTTGCTGTCGGCTGGTATCGCCACATCTACCACCACTGCCCTCTTCTGGTGTTTGTCAACCACCACTATGTCCGGTTGGTTAGCCAGCAGCTGTTTGTCAGTCTGGAAGCTTAGCCTTGTTGTTCTCAACCACCTTTGGTGGTGTGTCCCATAGGGATTTAGGTACTTAGAGTCCATACTGGGTACAGATGTTCCTGTACACTATCCCAGCCACTTGGTTGTGCCTCTCCATGTATGCTGATCCTGCCTGCACCTTCACCCTGCCACTATGTGCTGGACCGTCTCAGGGGCATCTTTGCACAGCCTGCACACTGGGTCTGATCTGCTGTGGTAGACTCTGGCCTCTATGGCCCTTGTGCTTTGGGCCTGTTCTTGTGCTGCGATGATTAGTGCCTCCGTGCTGTCTGTAAGTCCAGCATTCTCCAGCCACTGGTAGGTCTTCTTGATATCAGCCACTCCTGCTATCTGACGGTGGTATGCACCATGTAGGGGTTTGTCCCTCAATGTTGTTTGCTCATCCACCTCTTTGCCCTCATCCAGTTTCTGTTGTCTGAGGCATTCACTTAGCAGCTCATCCTTTGGGGCCCTCTTCTTTATGTATTCCTGGATTTTGGATGTTTCATCCTGGATAGTGACTCTGATGCTCACTAGTCCTTGGCCTCCCTCTTTCTGCTTAGTGTAAAGCCTCAGGGTGCTGTACTTGGGGTGGAACCCCCTCACATGCATGGTGAGGAGCTTTCTTGTCTTGATAGCTTCTATGTCCTCCATGTCCTCCTTTGGCCAGCTTATGATCCCAGCTGGGTAGCTGATGACTGGTAGTGTTGATGGCTCGGACCTTGTTCTGACCATTCAGCTGACTCCTCAAGACTTGCCTTACTCTCTGGAGGTATTTGGTTGTGGTCGACTTCCTTGCGGCCTCCTAATGATTTTCATTCATTATTTTGGGCCGGCACAATCGTAATTTATTTATTGTAATTATGTAGATATTTTTTAACGGCCGCGTCAGCCTTTAAAGCACAGAAAACAGCCCATTGGTTATTTTTTGTACACTGACATTGGGCTGACCCAGTGAAATCTGTCAGCCCTTCCTCCTTGGCCTGCCCCCTCCCCACTCATTTTCTGAGTTCTCCTGAGTTCGAGTAGCTGGCTGTTGGCCTTGTGCAGAGTGGTGGAGTGTGCAGCCTACTAACATACACTGATGGATAAACCACCAAAGCACAAGGGAGGTGAGGAGAAGCTACGGGAGAAAAGGCGCAAGAATCTCCAGGCAGATGCAGCCAAATGCGCAAAAATATCTGACATGTTTGCTGTAAGATCTGGTGCAGCAGGGCCATTCCCACCGTGTGCAGTACATCCCGTTGCACCAAACATACGTAAATGTGGACCTGCAAGAGAGTAGTTCAGGAGAAGAGATGGCTGCTGGTGGAGATGATTGATGATGTCCTTGCTGTAGCTCCTGTTGGTGTGGATCAGTGAGTCGATTTCTCGCTCATTCTTGACGTACAGCTTGATGTCAGAGCAGGTGGCTGATTGTTACTCCACTTTGGAATTGGTATCCGTAGCAAGTCCTCTTGCTGATCTGACTGAGGGGATTCAGGCCTATGCAGAACAACAGTGGTGACAGTGCATCCCCCTTAGTATATGCTGCATTTGATGTTGACTTGGGCAATCGGCTTTGAATTGGCCTCTAGGGTCGTCTTCCACATTCCCATGGAGTTCTTTATAAAGGCTGTTAGTGTCCTGATGATCTTGTATAGTTCCAGACATTCCAGTATCCATGTGTGTGGCATTTAGTCGTAGGCTTTGTTGTAGTCAATCCAGGTGGTGCACAGGTTGGTCTTCCCGCTCTTGTAGCCTCGGGCGATTGCTCTGTTGACCAGTAGCTGGTGCTCTTCTCCCCTGATGTTACTGCCAAATTCCTGTCTGTGCCTCACTCATGTATTGACCTATATGCCTAGTTATCTTAGCCGCTATGATGCCTGACAGGAGAGATAGGTTGTTGGTCTGTAGTTGGATGGGATGATCAGGACTGTCCTGCCCTGTGTCAGCCATTCTGGGTGGGTCCCATCCCTTAGCAGCTGGTTCATCTGTGCAGCTAGGCGTTAGTGGAGTGCAGTTAGCTTCTTCAGCCAGTATGTATGGATCATATCAGGGCTAAATTCATGAACATTATCAAATTTTTTATTTCAAGCAATCAATTTTATTTATAAAGCCCAATATCAGAAATCACAATTTGCCTCACAGGGCTTTACAGCATACGACATCCCTCTGTCCTCTGTCCCTTTGATGGGGGAAAAAATGGCAGAAACCTCAGGAAGAGCAACTGAGGAGGGATCCCTCTTCCAGGACAGACAGACGTGCAATAGATGTCGTACAGAACAGATCAACATAATACATTAACAGTATGACACAATGAGACAGAGGGACAGA